TTCTATTGATATATTCTTTGTTAGCTTTGCTAAACGTTTCTCCTCGATAAGCCTTAGTGTTTGTGCGGAAATCCATGGTTTCCTAGATGGTTTTATTGTAGGAATAACTGTATTTCCTGTTTCTTGGATAGCATTTAGTATTTCTTTCGAGTGTTCTTCGATATTGCTATCTGGTTGAAATTTTTTGATTTTTTCTTTTAATAAATCGATGTAGAGTCCTTTGGTAGGAGTATTGTTCAATTGTTTTATGTTTAATCTGTAGTTCTGATTTCTCTGATGGTGTATCTTTTTCAGATATAATTTGATATTGCGTAATACCAGTGAATGATCTGAACCGATATCTGCACTTTGGAATGTTCTACAGTTAATTACAGAAGATTTCTATCTTTGCTGAACTAAGATTAAATCGATCATATTTTTATGAACTCCGCGTCAGATGATTCTCAAGTCCATTTTCTATCTACTCTATGCTAGAATCTTGTATTGCAGATTAATAATCTATGTACTGTTGCAAACTCTAGGAGACGTTCTTCACGATCATTCCTGTCTCCAAAATCGTATCTACCTATCACGGAATTCCAACCCGTGTTATCGTTGCCAACTTTTGCATTCCAATCGCCAGACATAAGAATATGGGTTTTCTTAGGAACTTTAGCTAGAGTATTCTCGATGGAATTGTAAAACGCCTCGATTTTCTCATTTGAAGATGCAGAAGTTAGCGCATATACATGAATTGCCGTGATTTTAAATGGAGTAGCATTAAATCTTGCTGTGATTACTCATGAGCTAACTGGATTATATCCAATTAAAGCATTTTTTGCTTTCCCACTTAGTAGAAATCCTACTCCATTTGCATGAATGTTTTCTTCACGTGACCATATTAAATCGCCAGTAGCTGTTTCTCCTTTTTCTGTCCATCTAGTTTCTGAAACACCAATTATATCGTATCTGAAACGTTTTAGTTCATGTCTGAGTAGATCTAATTTTCCTATTATCCATAGAGTTCTAACATTCCATGTTCCGATTGTTAATATTTCTTTCCTTAATCAAATTCCATTGGTGCTAGTTACAGTGTTATTTGTTTTTGAGTTTTTGGTGTTGGAAGCTTTTCCAGTAACCAAATTTTCGACTCTGCCCTGGTCACCAGATAGAGAACGTGGATCTTGTTCACCCGGGCGACGTCCGAGCCAGTATGGATTAAGATCATTGATTTTCATCTTTTGGTTTCTGCCGTCTTTGAGTTTTTTACAGATAGCGGTATCTGCATCCCTTTCTATCCAATGCTGCTCCTTTCTCCGGACTTGCGATCGGCACAGAAGTCGCAAGATTGCGACTCCCATAGTGAAGTACGCTGGCTAAGGCTTATAGAAACTTGGCTCGGATGAGCCTTGCTTCAGGTGGTTTTTACTCGCCGTATCATCTTGCCGTCGTTGAGTTTCTATGGCATTTTATAAGTGTTTTGGTGCCACCCAAAACCCCACCACACCCTGTTGGCAAGATGGCTGAATTATTCTGGACTGCTTATTTGATCAATTACTTGATCTTATTCGCAGCTAACCATCATACTAATGGCCATTCCACTATCCGCAACCTGTGGATCCGCTTGGTAGCATCTAGCTTGCCTCAAGACATCATCTTGTAGAGAATTCAAGTCTCCATCGATTGATGTACAACTCATACCAAGATTTTATTTCTATATAGATGATATACCGTCAATTATGAGTATACTCATACAAAAAAAGAAAATAATCTAAATCTTGACGATATAGTCCATCGCCCAGAAATAAGTTACACATCTTCTTGTAGAGAATTAAATTCTGCATTGAATGATGTATAACTCATCTTTGGGCAATACTTACGAAGAGAGAAACTAGGCGTTGAAATACTTCAACTGCATATTTTTCAACCATTGTTCCAATTTTTGGACTCAATGATTCTCTGTTCATGAGTATTGTGGAGGAAGTAAAAAAAAATATCTGTGCAATTGGACGATCCTTTTCATTACAATTCCGTTGCGAAGGGCCGCCATTTCCAAATTATGAGCCTCCAATCTGATGTTTTTCGTTTTTCTATTTTCTGATTGGTTGTTCGTTGAACCAATAGACTTTTTTCTCTCGTCATGGTAATTCGTCGTGTTGTGCTAGCTTCATATCGATGCAGACTTCAACTAAGAAAGCTCGTTCGTTCCTTCCATAGACTGGTTCTTATAATACCTAGACGATTTTATTAGATTCAAGTTGAATACAGCTGAGCCATTCAACGAAACCGGACCAATACTACTACAGATTTATGGTTGTTGGTCTTATTTGAAAACGTTTGTACATTAATAACAATATTGTCTGCTTTAAATTTGTTTTGTAATCTCACTCTATGTAAACTCAATTTGAGATATGACGACAACCATTGATCTAAAAGAGGGCCATTGGAGGAACAATCAGTATGGAATACCAAGGTATCCGAGAGGCTTTCCTGAGAAGCATTGGACTTTCTTTGTCACAGCAATTGGATAAATGCTCGTTTGTTCTTAATTCCCCATCTGAACACGTCGAGCTCTACGTAACAATAGTAGGTTGCTCTCAGAGGCCTATACACCTTAAACCGGATCAATCGGGTATTGTGGGTCTTAATGCGCTTGATGATGGTACATTTGCGATCGAAATCTACGCCACCTCAACGAATCCTAGGAAGCTTCTTCATAAGTTTACCATTACTAAGGACTCTTACGGTGTAAGTATTCATACTGTCAATACCAATGCAACGGTTATTGCAGCCAAATTTAATAAAGCTGATCAACCGTTTGTAGGAGTGGTAGTATTGGGTCAGTTTATTGATCGTTCTGGAGAAGCGTGCAACATTCAAGGTAAAACCGATAGTAATGGTGCATTTCAAATTGTGCTACCTGAAGGAACGATGAAGAACTTAGTGGCCAAATCAAAGGAAGGAATTGAGATTCCGAAACGCGGAGTCATTGTCGTGCCGAATCCATCTTCATCTCATACCAACGGACCGAGAAAGCCACTTTCAATTGTTATTGATATAGATTCAAAAAATTTTGCATCGGCGCTAAATAATTCTTCGGACAATGCTAAAGTAGTAGTTCTTGGAGATGTATCTGGTTCCATAGGAGGGTCTAAGATGGACATTTTAAAAAAGTCTGTTTTGAAAATGCTGGAAGATTGTAAAGGAAAAAATAAACCAGTTGCTTTTGCTTCGTGGGATTCTTGGGTAGACTGGTGTTGTGATTCCTACATTACAACGGATACCCAACGGGCCGCTGGGTGTGGGTGTGGGTGTGGGTGTGGGTGTGGGTGTGGGTGTGGGTGTGGGTGTGGGTGTGGGTGTGGGTGTGGGTGTGGGTGTGGGTGTGGGTCTGGATGTGGATG